ATGATGATGAATCGTTTGACTTGAATGATAAAAAATCATTCAAGAAGAACGATGACGAATCATTCGACTTGAACAATAAAAAAATCGTACAAGAAGAACGATAACGAATCGTTCGACTTAAACGATAAAAAAAAATCGTTCAAAAAGAATGATGACGAATCATTCGACTTGAACGATAAAAAATCATTCAAGAAGAATGATGACAAATCGTTCGACTTGAACGATGACAAATCGTTTGACTTGAATGATAAAAAAATTGTTCAAGAAGAACGATAATAAATCGTTCGACTTGAACAAATAAAAAAATCATTCAAGAAGAACAATGAAGAATCTTTCGACTTGAATGATAAAAAAATTGTTCAAGAAGAACGATGACAAATCGTTTGACTTGAACGATAAAAAAATCATTCAAGAAAAATGATGACGAATCGTTCAACTTGAACGATAAAAAAATTCGTTCACTCCCCCCCTTCCCTCTGATCTTTTTTTTTATATTTAAATGTTTATAAAATTTAAAATCGACTCATAACTTGATTTGAATTTGACTCGATTTGAATAAATTCAAGTCAAAATCGAATCAAGTTAAAATCGAATTGAGTCAAATTAAGTCAAGTTTAAAATTTATATAACTTGAATCAAATCAAATTGAAAGATTTTATAAAATAAATTTGACTCGACTTGATTCGAAAAAAAAGAGTTGAATAGAGTTGATCTTTAAATTCGACTTGATTCAACTCATTTGAAACTCTAAACATCCTTACATATGATCATGTGCATGATCATTTATTAGACTTTTAAATAAATCAATTGTTTAATCAATGATATCCACCCTTCTTTTCTTTCTCTCTCTTCTTTTATTCTCTCTTTCCCTATTTTTTTTATAAATCTTATTGTTGAATATCCTTAAAATGAGTATTTTAGAATTACTTTCAAGTGATAATTCAGATAATGAAAATTTTTCTAATGATTTATTGAAAATATTCTAGATGATAGTGAAAGTAGGCGTCCAAAAGGAAGACCACCAGATACTGCAAGATTCAAAGGACCTTTAGAAACTTCTAATAATATTAACAAAACTCGCAAATGTGGATTATGCAATGAAAGTGGACATAATCATACTACATGTCCAATGGAAAAAAAAAATGATGATTAGTATTTAGAATGTTTAATTAATATGCTCAAATTACAGTAGTAATTGAGCCTGGCTCCGCTTCAGGCAAAAACTAATTTTCATTTTATCAACATTTGAGAAATGCTATTTGCTATTTGCTTTTTAGACAAATTTTGTAATATAGGGGTGCGTACAAAAAATCAAAAAAAATTTTTACCATGCCTAAAAATATTGTATTTTAAAATTTTACATGTATTTTACGCACTCCTGCATTTTGCGCAGCGTAAAAAATAAAAACCCAAAAATAAATTATAAATTAATTTATCTACTGAATTGATAGATATAATTTGAAACAACGAAAAATAGTAAAATAATAGATGATTAATAACATTTGTACTACTCAGATGTAGATATGTAGATTACTATTACCTTAATTATATAGATAATGATTATGTCGTCGTGCAAATTACACGGAATTTTAACTGTGAAATAATCACAAACGAAAGAAGAATAAAAAATAGTTTTTTTTTTTGTTTTTTGAAATATGCGTTTTTTTTTTGGTTTAAAAATTAATGCATTTAATTAAGTTTATCGTTTTATAATTAATTTAACCATTTGTTAACGAAAATATAATAATAATAATGGAAGGAAAGTTTAATAATTATAATAACGGGGAAAACGGTGGTAATGAAAATAAAGAAAATGCAGAATATAATCCACAACAGGGATATAACTATTCTCACCAACGAGAAATAAGCGATAATAATCATCAAGTATATGAAGCAACAGGAGGTCAACAAGATACTCAAAATGAATATTATCAACAGCCTCCTTATTCACAATATCAACAAGGTGGAATTTCTCATTCACAACAGCAATTAACATACCAACAGCAAGTGAATACACATCAAAATCAAGCGTCTATTCCACATGGTTACCAAGGAAGTCCTCGTCAGTACAATGTATCAGAACCTCAAGTGAACACGAACTCATCGCATCAACAACAAAGTAGTCCTCATCAATATGCGTCGTCATCTCTACCTCAGCAACAGATATATTCATCCCAGACAGCTTCGGTTCCTCAACAACAAGAACATACGACTTATTCACCGGAACCTAACGTATATTCAATTAGTTCGTTCAATGGTAACGTTAATAGTCCAGACAGTGGTATTAATGATAATTCAATTATTGGCCAAAGAGGAGATCAAAATGGTCCGAATAATAGTAGTCAAGGAGTGCCAATTATTGTTGATCAAGAAGGCGACAAAGGAGTTCAAGGTAGCGGTGATAATTTGCAACAGCAAGGAGGGAATTATGAAATTACTAGACAAATATATTATTCATCGGAACCTAATACAGCATATATTACAAATGAAGCAAAAGAATATGTAAAATCAGATGGAATTGGATATGAGCGATACCCACCAGATGCATATACAGCAAAAAAATTGGAGACATCGGGTGGAGACGTCGGAGTAACTTTTAATAGATATGATTCATATAACAATAATATTCAAAATACTACAGGTGAAACACAATATGATAATAATAATGCATCTGCAACATCGTCACAATCTATCGCTGAACCATTAAACATAAATAAGGCATCACTTTCACCTTCTATTATCTCAAAAAATACATTGGAATCACAAAATAGTAATAATATACCTCCATTACCTCCAACATCACCACCACCTTCACTGGGCGGTACACCAAATCCAAATCCAATCATGCTTAAAGATAAATCATCCAGATCAACTTCTATCAATTCAAGTAATTCATGGCAAAAAAATAGCCTACAATCAGCATCATTACCTTTAACTGTAACAGCTAATCCACCACCTGAAGTACCTTCAGGCTCGCATCCTGTTACATCTTTATCGAACCCTCAATCTTATTATAATATTCCACCATCTCCATTAATATCACCGTTACCTACACAAGTTGCAAACACACAAGAATCTGTACGAGGTACAAATTTTAAAGGTACGAATTCGCAAACTGACTCGCAGCAGATTCCTTCACAGATCGTGAATACATCAGCTCAAATGACCCCACAAACGGTAACCCAAATCGAATCTCCAATGAATTCATCTCAAATTAGTTCTTCAGATTATTACAAACAACTATTACCAACTCATAAATCACTAGGATATTCCCAATCAACACCATCACAATATTCACAAGATTATAGTAAAGAAGAATCTGGTGCTCATGAAATCGTATTCCCGCAAGATGATGTCGTTGCGCGGAATGAAATCGTTACTTCCTCACCACGTCAACATCATCATGGACATGTAGCATCAGTAGCAAGTAGCGATGGAGGTTTCTATAATAGTAGAAATTCATTGACCAATAATTTAGATAAAAATTTACCACCACCACCACCATCTATGGGACATCAAACACAACCAGGTAGTGAATCTAGTAATTATGTTGTTGAAGCTAGACCATACGGTCGTGAATCGAGAAATCATGGTAGTGAAACAACTTATGGTAGTGAAAAAAATTATGGAAGTGAAACAAATTATGGAAATTATGGAGCCGAAGCTCCACAACATGGCAGGGAAATGAGTAATAATTACGAAGATAATCAATTACCTGGAGGAAGACGAACAAATGAAATTCCAATGTCAGTTGTTGATCCACATCAACCTGCACAATCACCACCACCACCACCACCGCCACAAATAATATTCATTGAACAACCTCCTGTTAATCGTGACGTAAATGTACCACCACATTTACATTGGACAGACATTTCAAATATACCACCGCATCAGCGTAGTTTTACTCAAATAAAATCTCTAGAACAAATTTGGGGTATGCCTATATTCGCGGATAGTAGACCCACTTGGAAATTTTGGTATTTTATATATTGCTTGATTTTAACTGTCCTCTTCACATACATTATTCTTGTTAGGTTAAGATTAATTGACTAAGACAGATATTTGTATGTCGATCGATATATGGATCGACCGATATATTTCCCAAAATTATAATTATTTGTAATTATATTTATTTTATTTGTATTTTTAATAAAAATATATATATATATCTTGTATAATTAATACCCTATGTTATGAATTTCTTTTCGGTTGTTCAAGATAAATTTATTAAAAACGTGTTTAATCATAATTTGCTATTCAATAATCAATTTCTTAAAAAATTATTATAATGATAAATATATATTTTATATAATTTAATTTTTTTTTTTTTCCTCAGATCTTTTGAAATAATTCATAAATACTGAATAAAAAACTAAAAATATTTCCCGAGCTAAAGGTTGAAAAAATATAATATATAATAATAATAATAATAAGAATAAGAAATAATAAAATAAAGAATTAAGATTGAAAAAAGATTATTTATATAATATGATGCAAAAAGAAATGGATAAAAATAATAAAATTTTTTTTTTTTTTTTTTTGATTTTTGATAACCTTTTCTATCTCTAATTTAAAAAGACGCGCACAAAATCCCATAGCCCTTTTATTTCCAAACCCCAAATAGAAACATGAAAGCTCAATTCATGAGTAATTTTTTAAAGAAAAGTTCTTTTTTTTTTTTTCGTCATTCCACAAGGGGACCTATATTCAGACCCAATAAAAAAAAATATATATCTCTCACGAGTGATTATCATACAATAAATTCATATACAATAGATTCAACAAAAAAAAAAAGAAAAGAAAAGAAAAAAAGAAATAAAAAGACGGAATCACTCTAAATCTTAAAAGCATCAAAAAAAAAAAAAAAAAAAAAAAAAAAAGAAAAAGAAAAAAAAAGAAAGAGAAAAAAAAAATAGTAAAATCACTATTATTCAGTATACTCATTCTTTTTCGCACATCGTTTTAACCGTTTATCCTCATCCATCTTCTCGTTTAGTTTACTTTGATCTTGGATTAATCTTCGTGGCGCTTTCATTGGTCCCGTTCACTGATACGGGTGATTTTGAGCCTTTATCATTTGGATTTATATTGTTAGATTGAACATTATTATCGCCACCGTTTACCTGCGGACTAGGTTGATCTTGAATATTTTCGGAATTTTGTTGAGTATCATCCTTTTGTTTATTCGGTCCGTTGCTATGATGTTGTTCACTATCTGAATGATAACCTCCGCTGTGTACGGCTGCTGCATGTGCAGGATGTCCATTATTATGGTACATTCCAAAACTTTCTACATATTCTTGAGAGTGAAAAACTGGAGATGTGAGCGGATGATTCGGTAAATTCGGTACTTGAGATGATTGTGGGATCTCAATTTTCATATATGGTTTTGCGCCAGTAACAGCGGGAGAATCTGAAGCCGACGTCGTAATCGGTCGTGATTCAAAATTTGCAAACGTTGCAGGTGCTGTTGACGTAGAAACTAAAAATTTTTTTTTGTTTTTACCTATTGAATTTCACGTGATTAAATCTGTATCATTCTTACTTACCTTCTAAGTTATTTGGGTCCATATTTGGATTGTTGTACATTTCCGGATTGGGATTTTCTCCTTCATGAATGTTTTGAACCATATAATGTGGAGGATGCTGCGAATGATAATGGGGAGCTGCAGGATTTGGCGCGCCGGTCGACATCATTATAGATAAGGCGTCATTACGCATTGGACCGTTAGGAGGGTAGCCTTGAAATGGAGGGTACTGACCATAAGGTCCCGGGAACGGTGGAGCATTAAAATCGGGTGGCATCATACCAGGGGCGCTGTTAGGTCCAGGGAAAGTAATATGTTGACGACCGTCATTTGGGAATGTTGGATGCATTCCAATTGGATTAAAACGATCGTGACTGTCAGCATAATGTCCGGGACTGCGTCCACGAACCACTAAAGGTGCTGAAGTTGCTGTTGCAACCCTATAAGGGTCACCACTTTCAACATGAGCATATAAATCTACCATGACTACATAGTATTGTTGAGCAGCACGACGTTTACCATTATTAGCAGTAGCCGTCTTAAATTGAATACGTTCAAATGTAACAATATTTGTATTTGTTCCCACGGAACTTAGGTTTAGGTTACCACCCGCTCGAATAGGTTTTGGCACAGGGGTCATTTGTGGTCCTTTGTCACGTTTTGGCGTATGTTGAACCAACTCAATTTTTTTATCGCTGTTGGAGACACGCGCAGAAATACCCAATGAAAAATGAGTGACCGTATGAAATTGACCTTCAACTTCTATCAAGCACGGTACTTCAGATTCATTAATAGCATGAGAGGTTCCCGTTACTGAAAATGCACTACTAATCTGGAAGTAATTTCTTCGATAGCATGTCCAATCATTATCAGCTAAGAAGAATCCACGATCAACTTTTGAATTGATTCGAAGCTTATAACTTAACGATCACGAATAAATTAATAATAATAACAAAAATCCGAATATAATAAGTCACAAGGAAATACATATAACATGTTAATCATTTTATAAAATCATACCTATTAGATCTATCCATACTATATATGTTGTGATGCTGTTGTGTTTGAGAAAAGAATGGACCAGCATCTGGAGGAAATCCTAAAGAATTGTCCCTACGTTTCCTAATTACCTGTTGTTGAAATTGTGTGGCGTGATATGGGTTTGCTGTAATGGTAGGTCTATTATCATTTTTACAATCTGGTGGTGCGGAAACTGGCGTTATGGGAGTTCCAATTGGAGAACCATTTTGACGAGGCGTAGAAGGGGTTACAGGAGCAGACATCGAAACAGAACTAAATACGGATAAATAATTTAGTAAAAATTTATGACTGATAGCATATATTCAAATATCATTTTTAAAACAAAATAATTTGATGTAATGTCTGATTAAATAGATGATTAAGGTTCACATCACAATAAACTATTTAAACTCTATAATTAGCAAATACCTTTGATATTGATTTTGCGATCTGTTTGGGGTCGTATCAATTTCTTGTTTCGGTGGTATGAACATGACACCGTTATTACAATGGACAGCCCTATGATATCAACATCAGATTAATTTGCATAATGATAATCATATTGTTTGTGTATAAGTCATATCATGAAATTAAGTTAAAATCATGTTAGGGATGTTCAACCAAGAGAAGGGACGCAGCTTCGAAAAATATTAAACAAGTGTGTGTAAGGTAACACGCGGCGACAAGAAATACCAACTTGCATAACCAAAACCAGTTTGTACGAAGCACAAATAAAACGCGGGTTTTATGCTATGCTCGTTGTGGTAACTGATAACTGAAAAAACGTGCGCGGCACAAAAATCACTAGTGTTTTTATTTTTTTTTTTTTGATATATAATATTTTTTTCTTTTCTCTTTTTTTTTTTTTTTTTTTTTTTTTTTTTTACAAAGAAGTTTAGATATTATCATAACTTACATTTGTTGATGCATTTGACCTTGAGGAGCCTGACCATCGTACGTAAAGGATTGCATAAAGTTTTCAGCAGGCATACTGCTGACTTGTGAAGATATTTCGGGGTGTTGATGTTGAGAAGAAGGTGGAACTTGAGAAGATTGATGTATAGACCACTTATCCTCAGCAATGCTCATAATATTGCTAAAAAGCAAATACCTGAGAATCCTTTGAAACGACGTTAAAAAAAGTTTATAAACTCGACGCTTAAGAGATGAGCCGAAAGATTCACCAAATATTCTAGGTATATTAGCCGTACGGTTATATATTGATAGCAAAAGTCGTCCCAAGTAGTTGGTTTTTTTTTTTTTTTTTTTTTTAAAAAAAAAAAAAAAAAAATACCTGGGTGAAAAAATAAACAAAAAAAAAATTCTTTCAACTTTCTAAGGTCAGTTGAAATTATCAAAACAAAATGAATGCGTCAAGTGGAATTATCTGAAAATTTCCTATAGAACACATCCGGTGTATTGAATAGAGATGTGTTTAATTGGTTAGAGATCATGTGGCAAAGCTTAGTATCCTGATCAGCTAACTTCTATAAATTAGGTTAAACATCAAATTCAACTTCAGTTATTTATAATTACTATAATAAGCAATTCTAGAATGTATATAAGACGCGTGAATTAAATTTTTTTTTTTTCCAAATAAAAGTTTCGTTTACTTAAATTATGAGTGAGAAAATTTTATTATGCAATAAACAAGTACTTTCTACATCATTAAATTATCATTAATTAATATCATTACTATTACTAAATTAATTGAATTATTAATTATTATTATAACTTAAAATTTTAAACTATATTCCGACGACATTTTCTCTACTACACCGTCAAATCCTACCTGAGCACATTTTCTACCCGCTAATTCACAAGCAAACTTTAGACAACCTTCAGGTGTCATGCCTTGGGTTAATCCATAAATGATCCCCGCCGTAAATGTGTCACCGGCTCCAACCGTATCGACTATGCTTGCTATTGGTAAAGCTGGAGCCGTGAATAATTTACGCGTTGGATTATGAAAACACATAGCCCCTGAACTTCCCCATGTACAAAAAAGGTGCGCTCTTAATAATCGGAAAAAATAAATAAATAAATAAATAAAAATATTATTTATTCATAAAGTCAAAGTATAAACATTTTCTGGATTTACTTACGTATTTTTACAAAATGGTCCCATAACTTTTAAGAAATCCCCAGCATTTTCATACCCTTTACCCTCAGCAAATACTTTAGAAAAGAATATGACATCAGCTCTACTCATTAAAGTTTCCAATCCTCTACGGTAAGGTTTTTCCAATTCGACACTAATTATTGTTCTAGGACGCCAATCTTTTGTATCAATATGGTCTATCATTTTTGCTGCTTCTACTGCGTTACGCCCTTCAAAATGTATCCAGTTAAATGGCAATTCACTATTCGATGTACTAACCACTTCTTCGGTACATACTGCATCAAATTTCCGCTTAAATTCTTCAAAAGTTAATTCGTCTATGCTGTAAATCATTTCAAAAATTAATATCAAAAAAAGAAATCCACTTTTTTTTTTTTTTTTTTTTCAATTTCAGCATTACCTATTGTAATTTATGATTGTTCGTGAACTTGTACTGTTAGCATGTATAATATAAGCCACGGGTGCATGCTTTGCGTTAGACCTAAATATACACGTTGATGTCTTTATATTATGTGCCTCGAAATCTTGAAGCAAAAACCTATTTATAAATATCATTTTCAATTAATCCTTTTCCCGAACTATGTATGATACTTGCTTAAAAATATTATTATTTTTTTTTTTTTAAAAAAAAAAAATTTATATTTATATATATAAAGAAAACGCGCAACGCATACGTAGAGGCTTCTTTAGATGCCATAGAAGCCATAAAATATCCTTGGGCCAAGGGAAATTGAGATAAAACAGTTAAAGTATTCCCTGCATTTCCTCCTCTTCTCTTTTCTACTCTCTGTGCTCTCTGTTTACCATCTTCGGGTGGAAACTTATCAACATAAAGGATCGTGTCTTCGTATGCTGACCCTATAGAAAGAACTCTTAAAGGTACCTGTTGGTAATTTCCTGGAATTGTATTTTCTTGTGACATTATACGAATTATTATAGATAATGCATATATCGTTATAGAAAATGAATGTATGATGTATGAGTTTAATTTTAATTTATTGAATTTTACGAGAAACTTCGTTTAGAGTTAAAAAACTTTGGTGTATATAAACAAACTTCGGTACAACATTGATACATTTTTTGATCAAATTAACTAACTTAAAAAGGTTATCTAATTTTAATTCCTTGTGCACCCTTAAAATTTGTTAAAATTGATGTAATTTATTTCAGCTTTCTATAGAGTTATTTATAAATAACTTGCCCCCTATGCCCTAATAACTAGTCTAACATACGGAACCTATGAAAGAAACAATAAAACAATTAATTTAATCAATTTATAAAAATAAAATTTTATTATCTTTTTTTTTTTATATAATTTACCTCTACATCTTCACCATCACGATCATTTACAACCATTTCTAGAGTTAATGCTTTAACGTGTGGTGGAACTGGTTTCTTTGAAATTGATTCCACTAATTCCGATAACCTATTAAAACAAAGATCAAGTAATAAATTAATATTTAAATATTTTAAATTTCGTAAAAAATCACCATTCCTAATATTATACCTCATATTTTTCCGCTCTTCCCTTTTCTTTCCTTGCAAAAAGAACGCATATAACATACTAGCACCACATGACAACATTGTTACTTCTAATTCATGATTTTTTGCAAAGTAATCCAAGAATTCTTGAAGTGTAAGATCACCCTCAATGTCAAACCTATCCCATAAGCTCCATTCTGTTTCGTGATACTATAAAATAGGACGAATAATTAAGTTTAAAATATGAAGGATTTAAGCAAATGATAAATAATTTAGAGTCATTACCTGGAATTTCGGCATCGCAATTGGCTCTGAAAATCCAAAAAATGGTAACGCTAAATTTACAAAACCATTCTTATACTCCTCCAACTTATTCTTGCCAGCAATAATTTTGTATAATTCTAGGCATACTAATCCTGTTACCAAAGATGTCGTCGTAGCAATAGCTGGTATAATTTTGCCAGCAATAAATTTAGTCTTGTGACGATCTGCTGGCTGAATACCGTAGTTAATGGCTCGTAGATTAGAAGTTGCGGTGATGAAATCAATATGGAAATTTGTATCATCATCTTTTTCGAATTCTACAGGATTCAATCTAAATCCTGGAATTGATGTTGGATCGGGTAAACTACTAACAATTTCTTGTAACTCAGTTTCATCAGTTGTTTGCTGAATGTTTTCATTTTCTTGTACCTGAATCTTTACACCAGATCTTGGATGAAATTCGGGTACAAAAACTGTATTTAATACATTCTTTATAATATCTCGATTCGTTTCTCCTAAATCAATGTTTTTAGCAATTAGAAATATATAATAATAAGAATAACAATGATCATAATAATAAATTCACTACTTTTACAGATATGCTACCTTTGAGACCATAATTGAATGCATGTAAATTTGCAGCTGTTGCGATAAACTCCATATGTGCGTCCTAAGAGAGAGTAAAATTGTTGAATTAATAATTGTGATGGTGGAAAAGCACTTGTTAAATAAATACATACAATATTAGCGTCAAATATGATGGGTTCGGGTGCTCTTTTTGGACCAGACCAAAACTTTGCACCAGTAGATGTAACCTATGTAAAAAATTTGGAAAATTAAACAAGATAATAAAATATATTAGAATTGCGTCAACTTTATCCGCACCAAACGTCAAGGCACTCAACTTACGGAATCTTTTGGGAAATTAAAAAGCAACTGTTGGATATTATTGTTGAAATATTCTTCAAACTTCAAACGAGCCCAAGCAACGCACGCTTCGAATGTTAATGGACGTGCGGTAACTAAGAAATTTTGAATTCCTTCCAAGATTTCCTTAGCGCTACCACCTTGCTTTAATGTTCCTTCAACAAACCCAGGCTGGCTTAAATACATATTTACATTTTCTGCAGGAACCTTAAATAACCCTTCAAACAAGTCACGTGCCCACTGAATTGTATGCTCAATGGCATTAGGAAAGTTTTTTAATGTACAAATTGGAATAGATTTCTCAGGTGGGTCTTGAGATGACGAATAGGATTCAGTGAGGTACGGAATAACAACTTGCGTGTTACCCTTTGTACCTAATGTTCCGGACTCTAATAAAGGTTTTCTAAAGTACACGCATCGTCTATCCATATACTTACCTAAGAATTAAAACAACATAAATTAACATAATCCGAAATCATTTCTTTGAAATCAATATAATAAAAATTACTTACGAGCATCAACATTGTCCAATGCGTTAGTCACTCCATCCAAATTTTCAAAGAAATTATCATTGTAAACATTTTCGGTTTCAACACCAACACGATCTTGATGAGCAATGACTTTTCCTATGGTGTCAGGATTCATTTTACCTATGGCAACAACTGCAGTTTCTGATTTTAATTTCTGGAAAAAATAAAAATTAATTTTGCAAATTAAACCTTCAAAATCATATTTGGGATCAAATTAATACACACGCTAACATCGCCAGGACGGAACAAGAATTGTCGATTTAAGTTGCTTTTCTCAATTGTGTCCATATCAGTAACATGTATGGCACCTTGACCAGTACCCAATCCCATCATAGCCCAATTCTTTAACATTTCGCATCCGATAGCGCCAGCACCAACCTAAACAAACGATATAGAAACAATGTTAATATATTTATTATTTGTAGAAATAATTTAAAATAAACGTACCAAAAATTCTCTAAAGTTTGCAATCTTATGTTGGAAATCTCTACCAAATACTGCTATCTGGCCATCATAACGAGAATTACACTTATAATAAAATAAGATTAATTTTAGAATAACATTTAAAACGAATTTTATAGAATTTAAACTAATTTACATACTGGAGCACAATTTTCCTCATTTAAGTCATCATCTGGTAAAGATTCCAAAGAATCGAAATAAAAGTATTGTTGTATTGGATTAAACTTTCCACTGCAGGCTTTTAAAACTTCTTGAGCAACTAATCCACCGAGTACAGCAACCATTGGAGATAAACTTCCAGA